TTTTTTTTCAAATTATTCTCATTCTGTCTACTAAACTGGCATGAAACATGAATAATATTGGTATGAAAGCTGATTTAATATACGATTTATGAATATGGTATGAAATGTGTTTTAACATTTGTATGAAATTGATTTATTGTTGGTATGAAAGCTGACTTAAGTTGTGTATTATTTTTATAAAAAAATGGTATGATATCAGTGGTACAATTATGTGAAATGACTGTAGTTTGTTAAATCACCCTTCTTTTTTTTTTTGTATAAATTATGACTAATGTTGGTATGAAATTGGTATTTTCTTATAATACCTATTTTTTATAATAAGAAGGTTTCTTTTTCAATTTCTCTAACTAGGTTGATGGCAATGCGGAAAAACAAAGAACGATGATGGCGCGATCAGTGAGAGTGAAGCAACAGGGACTGTTGCTAGCAAATTTGATGGATCCCGCATAGCAAAAGAACATGCTCAAGATACCAGCAATTATCCTACACCAAGACTACGGAGATCAAATTTGAGATAGTTGATTACAACTTAGACTCTTTAGTATTTCATGTCTTTTTAACTTTTTAACGATAAATATTTGTTTTTGATAAAATTTTAAGTATTGAATGATATAGATTATGCACTGTTTTCTTCAAGTCAGTTATCAACTACATATGAATTACAGATTGACTCTCATAATTTCAGGATTCTAGTTATATACAGACTACATATCAATTGGATACAAATTTCTGGATATCAGTTATATACAAACTACATAACAATTGGATACATAAACAGTTTAGTTTTGATATTTAATTGGAGATCAAAATGAACACCATATAATTGGTATCCAAACTGTATATAGTTGACATCCAATTATTCATACCAACATTTATTCAACCTGAAGGATCCCATCTACCATCATGTTTAATTAATATAGATAAACAGTCGTCCATCACAACAAAATCAAGATTTTTCAAACAAAAAAAACTTGATTTACTCGTCAGTGACAACAATTCTGGAAATTTTTTTGAAGAGAGAGTAACGTAGAAGCAAATGGATAAAATCAGACTTTTTAATTAATTTTAACAAATTAGAGTGAATTAAGGAAACTAAATATTCCTAATTAGTTTGAATCTCCTAAATTTATGCTAATTAATAATTATCATCAATCAATTCAAATTTTATTAATACACTTATTTCCGTTTTTTACTTTTTTTCTTCAAAATCGATTTATTTTCCTTTTTTATCTTTTATTTTTTTTCAAAATCGATTTTTTATTCTTTTTATTTTTTTCAAAATAGATTTTTACAATTAATTAAAAAAATCTTTTTTTTATTTAATAAAAATGTTACAATCTGAAATTTTTTATTGTTACAACTTGAAAGTTTTATTCTACTGCTATAACTAGAAAATATTAGTCTAATAAATGACATATATGAAATTTTCACTTAATTTTATTATATATTAATATAATTTATATAATTAAAATTGTTATTATATATTTTTTATTATTATTTGTTTGAGAGTATTTTTTACCAATAAATTCATAAATTCTCATAATCTTTTCACTCATTATTTGATATATTTGTTTTAACTTCCAATTTTAAATTTTATCCTTTTATATAGGAACTAAGTTATAAATATTGATAACATAATGATTTTTTTTCAATCTTTTCTTGAACTACATGAACACACAAATATTCATGCACAAGTTTCCTTTTCGTTTTAATTTAATATATTATATGAAAATTTTATAATTTGTTTTAGATATTCACCAATGAGTGCTACTTAATGGAATGAATTATATCATTTAAATTGATCAGAAATTTGGATATTTTTGTTACTATCCATGCTCAAAACTTCAACTATTAAGTTATGTTCATTTCTTTTTCTTATTTGTGATGATAGCGAAATTAAAATTTCAATGTGAGTTTTGAAGCTTAACATCGATAATCCATCCCTTTTATTTTTTTTACTCTTCTTCCTTTTTTTTTTTTTTTTTTTGTGTGTGTGAAATTTGATAATTTTTTGTCTTAAATGATTAATCTATTGTGTAGAAAATCGATTTTCTTGTTAGTGTATAAATTTTATAAAATAAATTTAAGGACCTTTTAATATAATTTTGCCTTAGGCCACGAAATCTGTTGAGCCGCCCCTGACGTGTGACCATTTAGTTATTACCAAAATTATAAATAGTAGGTAGAATAATATACAAAATTGTTATACATGTTTCCACATGTGTTATTGCTAACCATTAGTGTATTTGATCTGGCTTTGCATACTAAAGAAATTTTATTACAAATATAAAGACTACACATAGATTTGATAGAAGTCGTATGCTTATGTATGCTGTTGAGAGTTGGAGTTTATTATTTGTGATGGGGTGTTCTTGAAAATTTCACACATAAAAGATAGTATGAGATTTTTAGAAACTTTATTTTATGTTTTGAATGGATTAAAGAAAAAATTGAAGAAGAGATTTTGGTAAATAGAGAGACTCTTTAGGACAAAAGAGAATTTTATGACTGATTTTACTATGTTTGCTCTACACTCAATACATGATTAAATATGGATTGAGTATCTGATAGTCTAGTATCGCGATTTTAATAATAATCATTTTAGATTTGAGAGAAATATCGTATACGTTTGAACTGTATATATAAGTGTTGTGCATTTGGAAATTCAAACATTTTTTCGCAACACAGGCATAAACTATGTATTTAATTGGTAGTCGCGAGTGTCTTTGCAACCTTTTTTTTTGCATTTGCATGACAATTTCAATAAAAAATGGTCTAAATTCTAGTGGAAGAAGTCTAAAGTTAATGGGTTTTGATGACTTTATGTATGGTGAAAGTTCCTTTCGCCTTTCCAAACAAATATTGTATTGTACATATTTCCAACTATCGGTGTATATAGACCAGGTTGGTTTGCATTTTTCAATTATTAAATTAAAAATTATTAATGTTGAGTTCTTAATTTATAAACTAAATCAAATCAAATCAAACTAATAAAATATGTGTTCTTTAACCTCGAATTTTTTGAATTTCTCGGTTTTTCAAGTTTTTTGATAAAGTATTTATACAAACATTTAAGTAATTAACTTGTGCTTCAAATATTTCTCTAGTCATACTAAAATGCAACTATCTAAGGTATTTCTTAAGAAAATATAACTATATGAGTGATGACACTAACATATTCAACAAAAAAATAATACGTAATGAAATCGGATAAAACAAATATTGCAAATAAATAAGTCATAGTGAAAATGATTATTATTTAAAAGTACTAAATCATGCTAAAATAAATCTTTAATTATATGTCTAAGCATTAAAGAATAACTAAAATTATATTATGTATTTTAATTATCTAAACCAATGTAAGATTAAAGAACCAAATGTTCAACATTATTGTCATTCTTAGAGTTGAATTAATTTTTTGTTAGCATTAGTATTGATTTGGTTTTGATTTGAGCTTTATTAAAGTTACTAATATCTATAACTTTTATTGTACCATTCAAAAGTCTAAGTTAAGCTTGAAATAATATGTTGAAAGATAAAAACTATATATGAAAAAATATAAGAAATATTTATAAATTATATCAAAGTAAAAAAATATTGTTGTCAAAGAAAAATATTATTTTGATTTCTTGAACTCTACATTTATAAAAATAAAAGGAGTTAATATTAAAAATTCACTCAACTACATTCATCATTAAAATAAATTTTAGATAACAAATAACATATATATTTTTTATTTCATGTAATTATGAACTCTATAAATAAATAAAATAATAGAATATATTTATTATTGTATCCGTCCCACCCACAAATTAGATTCTCAAAAGACTAATTTTTAATTAAGCATAAAATTGCAGAATGTTATTCGGAAATTACCAAAAGATCGATACAACGCTGCATTTTCAACTTGACAGCATGCTTTAACATCATTATTTGGTAATGATTATTATATTAATATTTTGTAGAAATAATTTAGCAGAAAGTATTAATTTGAGTAAACAACGACTTGCTTTCTACCCAGAATTTAGGCAAACTTAATTAGTAATTTAGTAGAAAGTACTAATCTGAGTAAAGAATGACTTGCTTTCTACTTGGAATTAGTCTTTAGACAAACTTAATTAGTAATTTAGTCGAAAGTACTAATATGAGTAAAGAATGACTTGCTTTCTACTTGGAATTAGTCTTTAGACAAACTTAATTAGTGGTGGGTTAGGTATAGTAATATATATTTCTATAGTATACTACTATTATTTATTTGTTTGGTTTATGATTATATGATATAAACAATATTTTATTTTGTCATGTTAAATTTATTTTAATAATAAATGTTGTTGAGTGATATTTGAAGATAAAACTTTTAAACTGAGTGATTTTTGAAGATAGAAACTTTAAATTGAGTGATTTTATTGATACAAAATAAAATTCAATGACTTTACTAAATACTTTCTCCTAGTTTAATGACCTTTTAAAATATTGACTCGAGTAAAAGCAGTAAAATATAATAATAAACTAGCCTAGAAATTAGAATATCTCTGTAAAATATATCTTAACAAACTACTAATTACTAATAAGAAAAAACTAGCTAACCAACTATTAACTAGAATTTATTCAAAAACTAAAACAGTAAAGTTCAAAACCATAATTCTAACCTTGTGCTCTCTTGTTCATTGTCATTTTTATAATTTTAGAGCTCCTTCATCAATTGGCTTGATGATGATATTACCAAATGAATGCCGATTAATGCCAACGACGCCATTAGTTATCTGCTTATCTTTCACGTTGAGGCAAATCATGATTTATATCCGATGAATTCAAATTTTGAGATTTTTATCGAAACTTTTACGGTTACTTATAAAATTATGTATTAAGAATCTTATAATTTTGGCATTTTAGTAACTTTTCTCATGCATATCTGTACTCCATGGACGGAGCTAGAATGTAGAGTCCGAAGCTAAAATGACCATTTTTTCCCTTCAAAATGGATAAAGGGCCACCATTTAAAAAAAAAATCAAAACAGATAATTTGCTCCTGAGGGAGCGAAATCCGGGTTTTAACCGTCGTTAACGAGACATTTTCTTTCTTTCTCGCTGATTGATGTTAATTTTTTTTTTTTTTAAAAAAAAAAATCGCTGCAAGAGCAGCGAGTTCCATAAAAACGAGTTTATTGTTTTTTTTTTTTTTAAAAAAAAAACATAAATCGCATAGCAGGGTTTTTCAAAACTTAATTTTAAAACTAATAACCTATAGACAATTTTGTTTTTTTTTTCCCTATGTTGATTAGGATGAAAAAATACCAAAATTTCCAAATTTTACGCTGCTCCATTTTTTTTTTCCTTATCAAGGTATCAACAAAATATGTAATGGAAGTTACATTGGGATATAATACTACTCCTTCCGTTTAAAAAAGAATGACCTCATTTCTTTTTTAGTCTGTTTAAAAAAGAATTGCCTCTTTCTTTTTTTGATAACATTTTAATTTCAACTTTCCACGTGACATGTTTAAGGTCACAGTATTAAAGATCAATTTTGTACATTTGACATAACTTTAATTTAGGATCACAAGATTCGAAAGTGTTCTTTATTTTCTTAAACTCTATGCCAAGTCAAACTATGTCATTCTTTTTGAAACAGAGGGAGTAATTAATAGTACATCTCATTTGCTACCAACTCTTAATAAATCCAAGTGGGAATTAATAGTTCCAAATTTACAATTAATTAAATTGATCTACTTTAATTTGATTTTCAAAATTAATCAATTTAATTCTTGAAAAGCAAACATGATCACTTTATGTGATAATGCTTTTTGGATCCTTATAATTGATTAAAGTTGTGTGCAAAGGCATTTGCTATTAAAAATTCACTGCAGTTGTAGCGATAAATTGTTGTTGGAACTCGTTGCTACAGCAGCAATTTTGTTATTTTTTTTTTATTGGATGCTGTTAATGGCTGTTAAAACCACAAAGGATCTCGCTTCCAAGAGCAAAATTGAATGGCCCTTTATATATTTTGGAAGAAAAAATGGTCTTTTTGGCTCCGGACTCTAGAATACATGTTATGAATTTAGTCGAACTTACTAGCTTTGCTCCAAACCCTATAAGTGTCTTAAGAAATTCATTCAATATGTATAAGTTACTAAGAACTACAATCTCGAACTCATAAACTTAAAACAGATTCGACCGAACTTACTAGTTTTAAGAAATTCTTTCAATATGTATAAATTATTCGACGACCAGAACCGCACGCTCATTGACTTCAAATTTTTTGCTTCTTTTTATTTGAACCCAATTAATTTAACGAAAAAGGGTCAAATATACCCATGTACTATTAGAAGTATTTTAAATATATTCCTCGTTATACTTTTGAGCTAAATATACTCCTCTCATTACACTTTTGGGCTAACTAACAAACGTGTCCCTCGTTTATTATAAGGGTAAATATGTGCCAAAAGTATAACAAGAGGGGTATTTTTAGCCCAACAGTATAATGAGAGTTATATTTCCAATACTACATAGATATATTTGACCCTTTTCCGTTAATTTAAGGTGGATAGTAGTCCTGAAAAAAGGGAAGATACAATATGGGGAATAAAACAACATAGAAAGACCAGGATTTTCTATATTGTTACTGAGTTTTTGTGTGAAAGAAACTTTATTTTTTTTGTACAGAGTTAGAAATACGAAAGGCAAGTGAGAAATATTACACCAACAACATAGCAAGTGAAATTTCATAAGTGGGGTCTAAAGCGTTACTTTTAGCTTGTGGTAGTAGAGAAGTTGTCTGAGGGTATCACATTTGAAAGCAGAATGAAAAAGGAAATAGAGAAGAAAAGAAGAGGAAGCAAATAGTGTAGTACACACAAGATATGTAAGTCAACAAAGTCCACTCTTTTCTCTTTTCTTATATACTAGAAAAGAGATGGATTTTTAGAATTCAGAGGTGAAACATCTAAAAGAGTTCATTATTCTTTGGTAGAACTAATGGATAGAAGGCTGTGGGAGGCTGCTCAAAAAGGAGATGTTCATCACTTTCAAAGCTTGATCAAAGAAGATCCTCTTTTGCTCAGGGAAGTTTCATTAGCAGGTAGTGAAACTCCTCTGCATATTGCTTGTTCGGGTGGCCATCTTGAGTTCACCAAAGAGATCATTCATCTGAGGCCAGAATTTGCAAGAAAACTAAACCAGGATGGTTTCAGCCCTTTGCATATTGCCTCAGCAAATGAGGATATAGAGATTGTGAAGGAGCTCTTGAACGTTGACCGTAATCTATGCCTTATCAAGGGGAAGGACAGAAGAATTCCCCTTCACTATGCAGTAATCAACGGCAGAGAAAATGTCATGAAGGAGCTTCTTGTGGTTTCTCCAGACTCAACAGACGAAGTGACTGCTCGTGGCGAGACTTGCCTTCATTTAGCTGTCAAGAATCATCAGTTTGAAGCATTTAAATTTTTACTTGACAACCTCAAGGATTTAAACAAGTATGGTCTTTTAAACAAGAAGGATATCCAAGGAAACACTGTTTTGCATCTTGCTGTGTCAACTAAGCAATACGAGGCAAGTATATTTTCATTATATATATATGCCTCATCTTTTGATCTTGATTTTTAACTTTCAATGATTCATTCAGGTTGTTAATATGTTGCTGGATGAGAATGTTGTTTGTAAGGGCACAATTGAGATGAATTCTTTGAACAAGAAAGGCCTTACACCTTTGGAGGTACTATTAGAGGAATGTGGAGATAGAGATATTGAGGAAATTCTAAGAGCATCTGGTGCTTTATCTGCTGAAAACTTGCAAGTTTTGGTTGTTCCAGTTCAAGATCCATCAAATGAACAATCCAGCAGAGAGCAAAGAAGGGACCAGCGTCGATCTAATTTTAATAAGTATTTCTTCGGGTTCAATAAAACCAGAGATTGTCCAGGAAAAGTAAGCGACACTATTCTTGTGATAGCCATTCTAATTGCAACAGCAACTTTTCAAGCAGGTTTCAATCCACCAGGAGGCTTATGGCAGGACACTTACTGGCCTGACGACAATAACAACAGTACTAGTTATGATGGCATAGTAGTAGTGCCCCTGCGGCATTTCGCAGGACAGTCAGTGATGGCTACCAGCAATCCTGTTTTCTATGGCTTCTTCTTGGTTTTCAACTCCCTCGGATTTTTTGTATCCTTCTACATGATATGTTTTCTTACAATAGGATTTCCTTTTCAATTAGAACTGCATATCTCACTTTCGGCCTTGGGGGTAACCTATTTTATTGTGATAGTTACCACATTACCTTTCTGTGGAATTTTTTTCTTCTTTTTTATCTTTTTCTTAGTCTTTTTAGCACCGTATCCCTTCATTTCAGGGGCGTTGAGAAACTATTGCAAGAAACCTAGAATCTTGTCATGATTTATAAACTAGACAGCTACTTGAACAGCATCTTCCTGTATTTTCTTCTTCTTTAATTTTGAGGTTCAATCAGGATGTACTGAGATTCTAAATAAAAAATTACTTGTGAGATTTATTACAATCACTTTTACTTATCGCCTTTAAATGGTCTTATATGAAAATAGGTTGACATGTTGTTTTCTTGACACTTCCATACTATTTTACTATTAAACAAACTCTCAAATGAAAATCAACCTCGTCATTCGTCAAGCCTGAATTCAGGCACTGAGCATTATTGTGTATTATCATTAACTTTGAATTTGCTAACCACCATGAATATTAGGATTACCTCAATACAAGTATTAGCTGCAATTGTCAATTGTTTCTCAAAGAACCGTCCAAAGGTGATCAACAAAGTGAGGGGAAGTTACGGGAGACTCACCAAAACTCTAGAGTAAAAAAATATTAAGGGTCGTAATTGGAATTGGTATAATTACTAGAGTAATAATTACCAGTCTAGTAATTACACAACTTAGTAATTACAATGATCTGTTTGTTTGCCACACAAGTGTATTGTTTGGTTACACAAGTGTAATCATAAGGTTATATTGAATTTTAAAAATAAAAATTAATTATCTAAAATTAAAAAAATTATATTAGACGAATAAAATGCTTTATAAATGATGTTAAATTTAATATTTAAGATATATATTGTCTTTTAAAAATATATTAATTAATAAACACATGTTCTTAACTAATATTATAAAAAAGTTGATTTATATTTTTCAAATTAGTATATTTTAATCAAATTAATCATAAAAACTAAAAGTACACTTTCTTTGAACATTCATGAATTGCATGTTTGAAAAAAAGATTATTTTTATAAATATAGTGTCATAAAATTACAAAAACATTGGACAAAAAGATAATCTATCAAGTCTAACTAAAATATCGACTCATTACTCCTAAAACAAATGAAATAGAAAATATAACATAAGTTCTAAATTCAAAACAAAAAAATTAACATAATACTCTTATGTCAAATTTCAACATAACATACAAAAATATGATTTAAAAGAAAAGAAAAATGTAAATACATAATCTTATGCAATGATAAATTTACGTTAATTTAAAAATTAGAATACTAACAAAATTATACTAATGAAAAAGAAGAAGATAATACGAAAAATTGTATAGAATCACATGAAGTAAAGGTTGAGAATGAGAAGGAAATGAAATATAAATAATATAAAATAAAAATAAAAGGAAGAAATAAAAAAAGTAATTGGCTGTAATTACACCATGTAAATTACCCGCAATTCACGTACAGTCTCCCCTTATGAATTGGAGAGTATAATTATCTCTATCAATTACACCCAATTACCTGCTGATCAAGTAATTACATAGCCAATCAAACATACCATGGTTATTATACTCAATTACACCAAATTCAATTAGCAGATTGTCTTTCCAAGGAGGTCCTAAGTGGTTTCTTCCCCTTACTAAGTCTGTGTGGAGGAAGTAACTCGGTTGTCGTCACGACCCGATTTCTCGAGTCATGATGTCACCTACTATACCCTACCAGTAGGTAAGCCAACCCGTAACCCAGAACATCAAGCAATGAGCGAAAGGGCAGAAACTAGCGAAAATAATAATCTAAACAAGAATAACAAGGCGGAAGCAACCCAAAATAAATATATACAGAAATCCCTCCCAGAACCTGGAAGTCACCAGTACAAAACTATCTAATAAAGAGTACAAGTCCCAAAAGTGGACCACAACAGAGCGTGTCTCAAAGGCAACAAGACTAGCTAAAACAAAAGAAGGAGACA